GTCAAAATAAAAAACATATAGTTAAACCCAAATTCCCAAGGCCACGCCAAGATTCCGAAAAAAGTGTATATAGAAAGCTAAAACTGTGCTAATATATGGACTGTGCCTAAGAAAGCCAAAACTGTGCTTATGAAGATCCAAATATCTAACTGTGCCTATACCCTCATTTCTGATACTACTAATACAACATCGCGTATCCCCCGGGCACTCACAAGAAACGTGACCGGTACCATCGCAATTAAAACAGCGACACTCGTGCACTCCTTGGCAAGATGATCCAGGGAGTTACATTTACGGCAGGTCTTGCGCTGGTTCTCGTACTTCACACGGACTTGAAAGCGGCCGAACCTGAGAAAACATGGAATACTATCCTCCAGAGCCATGCAAAAATATCAGTTAAAAATATCAGGAAATTCCTTACATTTCCCACGACGATGCGAGAAAATTTTCCCGTACGGCTCGAGGCGTTCTTCAATAGCGGAATCCGGCAATTTGTATGGAACATCATACACATTAACAAAAGTTAATCGACGGGAAGCTGCATGAGTAACGGAGACTCGCTTGCGGATAATCAGGGAAGATTTGCGTCGGAAGCGGTTATGAATATCTTCAGTAGAAAAGGTCACCAGGACACCATCGCCGGGAAGTCGCTGTAAGCACCTCACCGAGGAAGCTGTAATCCCATCACGCAGAAATGCATAAAAAATATCTGTAGTCGTAGCGAAGTGTTCTGGTAGGTTAAAGAAGGCTAAACACGGGCAGTCTGGGGCGGTATTACACGGGTGAAAATTATCCTTTTCAAATCTAGAGCTTGACAAATACCTTTCGTACACTTGTCTCTCCTCAGCTGTTAGTTACACATCTTGATCAGGTGAAAGATTCTTCTTGGTACACCTTGCATAACTGATAGCTGGGGCTTGTACCACATTGGGATCATCAGGAACCTCAACATCTACTTGGGTGGACCAAGGCTCGTTAGAACTCAAAGAACTCATATCCGTCGGCGCAGCAGTCGCCATTGTGGTAACGAACCAAATCGGAACATACCAGAAATGTAGAAAATCGCTCCACGATAAATTTGGGGTAGGGGCCACGCCGTTCCCTCCCGGCAGGTACTTAGGACAGGCCCCACAAACAAACAGGAAAAAAAGCCAATTTTTTCTGTTTTAAAAATTTTATTCATAAAATCAACAGCACAAGAGACTATTTACAATCACAGTTATCTGAGCTACATTAAAGCTTACAATTCACAATTACATATGGTAGCTCTAGCAAGATCAAGTCCACAGTTCACTTAACAGTTCACTTAACACGAAAGAAACTCTGTTCTAAAAGTAAATTAAGAAAAGAACAGAAATCAAAAGGAAAAGAAAAGAGTGTCACTTCGGATAAAACAAAAACTGGGCTCACCCCAAACACGGAGAAACTTCTCACGCGAGAAATGATGAAAATCTAGCTTGACCCTCCCCTTAATAGAGAGAGGCGCATACTTGATAAGAGCAGACGCTTCCTCGCGACCATTGTGAAAGGGACTCTTATTACGAAAGGTCCAAACAGAATACACTACGCTCTTAATTACAAAGGAGGCTATTCGAAATTTCCTAGCATCGCAAGAGAAACAAAAAAAGAAAACTGTACAAACGTTGATAAGAAAATCAAAGCCGAGCAAAGCAGATAACACGGGTCGGAAGTGAGCCCACACTCTTTTAACTCGAAAGCAATTCAAGAAACAATGATCAATCGTTTCCCTTCTATCGCACATCGCGCATTTATATGAAGACATGTAGCCCCAATTGAACAGAGTCGCGCACTTAAACACCTCTAAGGGCAATCAACCAAAATAAATCGTTAAGGCAATTATCACAAAAGGAATCCCTAACCTTAGTCCAGTGGTCGCGGATCGAGAAGCCGGGACCAAGGTAAGGGACCCAAGCGCGGTGCAGGGAAGGCGCGGAAGAAACTGTATTAAGCGCGCAGTAAATAACGTTAGAAGAAGGCCGCGTATTAACAACATCAAAGCTAGCCTGAAAGTAGGCAGTGCATGGACGATCCGGTGTGACGTATGGGTGGAAATTGTCCCACTCAAAGAGAGATAAATAGTGTTCACCGCGATAACCGCGAGAGCTCTCGTTAACACGTGACGTATTATCTGCAACTGCGGTGGCAGAAGTTGTGTTCCCAGGCACTGAAACGGCTTGTTGCTCGGCGGTTTGTAATTCAACAGACGGAAGTTCTAAGCTCTGAGACAATAAAACATTCTGACTCTCCGAAGGACGAACTTCTGAATCACTGACATCTTCAAGTAGCAAGGTATCACCAGACATATTTGATAAAGTATCAAGATCGCATTGCGCGGCCCTCACCATGAGGCCACGCGTGGAGTCACGAAAATGCGAAGACTTGAATGAGAAAAAACGGTAGAAAATCACAAAATTATACCTTACGGAAATACTTCTTCAGGAAATTCTTGATCTTTTTCACAAGCGCTTAGCAAGGCTAATAACCAAAAACGGAAAAAATACTCGCTTGATGTTAGCCAAAAGGCTGAGAAGCAATGCCCCTTTAGGTCCTCCGGACCTAGGGTGGTTGGCTCCTTCCCCATCCTACATATGGTGGTTGGAGGTTAGGGTTAGGGTTAGGGAGATATCACTGGCTTAGTCGGAGCACAGATACTCGGCCAAGCTCTTCAGGACACTACAGTGTGTATAGACAGGAAATATGCGTCTCTTGTAAGAGAAAAAAATCATAGTCTAAATTTTCGTTTAACTCATGAAGAAAGAGATCGCGTTTACGAGTACATTAACATTAGTGGTAAGAATTCTAAGTGGGCTATAAGCAAAGGTAGTTAATTAAAATAAATTAATAGGACTTACTCTTATGCTTGTGATGGGATACCTTTGTCCAACCTTCGCTTTCTGAGCCAGACTCGCTCCCACTATGATCATAGTCGCGATGAGGAGAGCGATCGCGCGAAGGGCGAAAGCGATCGCAATCCCGTTCGCGATCGTTCCTCTCACCTCTTCTGTAGTCATCGTCACCTCTATGTCTCCTCTCATAATGCTTGTCGTGCTTCCTTTTTTCTCTCTCCCTCCGATTTTCGCGGTCTTTCTCTTCACGCTCCTTCTCCTTTCGCTCTCTTCGTTCCTTCTCCTCGCGATCTTTCTCCTTTCTGTCTTTCTCCTCCTTCTCCTTTCTCTCTCTCTCCTTCTCCCTCCGCGCGCGTTCCTCGCGTCTCACGCGCTCGTCTTCTCGCTTGGCCCGGCTGATAACCTCTTCGGCTTTTCTCGCAGCGTCCACGAGTTTTCCGGTCTGAGCGGCCCCAGAGTATGACTTCCCCTTCTCAGCAGGCGTGTCACTAGGCTTGGCAGCGGATACATTGGAACTAATAAATGAAAGCACAGCTTGAGGTCTCATGACCATTGGAAAGGCATACACGGCAAAGCGCGGGCATATCACACTGTTCGGCGCGGTGGCCGGGCTGCTCGCAATTAAAGCAACGTTGAGACTTGCAACCGGCCGCAAGATGATCTTCTGAGCCGTATTTGCGGCAGGTCTTGGGCTGAGAAGGATACCAAAACCGCACAAACTCGCCGCCAATGAAGGTTTGGGCGGGAATGGGACGCTCGATAAACATTCGCGCGGTACGAACGCCATTTAAAATGGCCCCCCACGCGGTCGCGACGGAAAGAAATTACCCTGCCGTAGTGGGCTAGACGGCCAATGACAACAGAATCCGGCATCTCGTCGGGCAATTCATAGACCTTAACAATTGACACTCTGTTCTCACAGTCTCCAAGCAGAACACAACAGCCGGCAATTGTGATGGAATGCTCGTTGAGATAGGCGTCCTTCTCAGCTTTACTAGCGAAGGTAACAACCCAGGAGTTGTTGCTTGCTCGGCGCTGAATTGAGGTTATGTTGTCCATGTCAATTCCCGCTCTATCCAGCCCAACAATAATGTCTTGGCTGGTAATTACAGTGTCATCCGAAAAGCAAACCGAAAGCTCTTTGCGAATACGAACGGCGCTCCCTCGCACGTTCCACGCAGCACACGAAACAACTTGCGAGTGATGCCCAGAGTTCTGAAGTCGTAACAGCGCATCAGGCAATTCCGGGGGGCGATCAGAACCATCCATCAGGTTTTCAGAGTCCAGGGGGGGGCGACGGTGCCAGGGGGGGTAAACAGATCGGGCGACGCACTCGGCTCGTTAACGGATTCACTGATTTCTTGGATGAGAGGCTCTCCCATAAGTGTGGGACCAACAGTGTTAGACATCTCGCAAAATGAGAGATGGACTCCTCTTTTGTCCACCTAAAGGAAAAAATCTAGGGGGGCCCTCTGACTTATTTAGCACACAAGAGTGAATATCGGTGTAAACAATATTCACCCATTGTCGGAAACTCGGGCCGAAATTGAAACGTGATAACACACGCTGTAGGAAGCCTTGGTTAACGCGGTCAAAAGCTTTCTCCTGATCTAAACTAATTAGCGCAGCGGAAAGCTGTTTGTGATCGATGTAATCGAGAGTATCTCTGAGGAGAAATTAGTTCTCATAGATACTCCGGCCCGGTACGCCACAGGTTTGATCTTCGCTCAGAATTACAGAGAGTACTTTTTTAAGCTGGTTGGCCAGTACTTTAGTGCAAATTTTATAATCCGTATTAAGCAGAGAGATCGGTCGCCAGTTTTTTAAGAGCAACGGGTCCTCCTTTTTATAAAGCAAATGAATTATCCCTTGCTTTTGCGAGTCGGATAATTGCCCGTGTTCGTAACAATAATTTAGGACTTCGACTAAGTCGGGGCCTAGCGAACTCCAAAAGCGTCGGTAAAATTCGACCGGAAAGCCGTCTGCTCCAGGAGATTTATTTGTTTGCATCTGGCTAAGAGCCTCGTAACACTCGGAAAGCCTGAGGGCTCCTTCGCATTTCTCCTGATCTTCGGATGTCAGAGCTGTATCCAGTTGATTTAAAAGCCAGTCTTGGCATTTTAAATCGACCGGTTCGGCAGTATACAGGTTCACATAAAAATCTCGGCAAGCTGTCAAAATATTTTTGTGAGACGTGACTGTCTGATCTCCGACGCGTAGTTCATTGATCGAATTACGGGTCTGGCGTTGCTTTTCGAGTTGATAAAAGTATTTGGTGGGCTTTTCTCCGAATTCTAGCCATTGCTCTCTGCTACGGATTATAGCTCCTTCTACGTTACGGTCTTCAATGGCTTTTAAGAGATCTCTAATCTCCGCTAGGCGAACGTGATTGTCGGCGGTATCTGAAGTACCGCGAGCCAGGATGTTGCGAAATTCAATTTCTAAATTAAGTTTGTCACGTTTACGCTCCCGTGCTTCGGCGACACTATGAGCGATGGCGATCTCTTTTAATTGCAGTTTTCCAGCGTCCCACCAAACCCTAGGGTCGGTGAAAGCTGGTTTATTAAATTTCCACGATGGCCAAAAGGAATTAACGGCGGCGCAAAAACTTTCGTTTTTGAGCAGCTGTGTGTTTAATTTCCATACCCCCCGGCCCCGGGGATTAGTAGGTCTGAACGTGACTTGAAGTTTAATTAAATGGTGATCAGAGTACGCAAAAGGCGAACACGTGTGCCGCGCGATGCGTGATCTCCAGGCTCGCAGGGTATAAAACCGATCTAGCCTACATCCGACAGAATGAGGGCCATTAAACCACGTAAAAATCCTACCGCGCGGGTTAGAAACGTGAAAGAAGTCTTCTACAGCTAGTGACGCTGTGAAAGAGTGTTGCTGCGTGACAGCCCTGTCTCCAAAACTGTCATCGCCTCCCCACTTGTCAAGCGTGATGTCCGGTACATAGTTAAAATCCCCGACAACAATAAGTTCGATGTTCGGGTATTTGAAGCGCCAGATATTGTCAAAAAATAATTCGCGTTCGCGGTGGTTATTAGGCCCGTAAACATTAATAATTTGAAAACGTTGCCCGTGAAAATCAATGAGAGCGGTGACTACTCTACCCGCGAGATCGGTTTTAGAATCCACGAGTTTCGCAGCACTATTCGGGTGAATAAGAACCGCGACACCCGCGGACCAGTTAGAGCCGGGGGACCACGTGCACTGACCCCCCTAATCCTTCTCCCATGCCTTACCTTGCGTGAAGTCCGCGAGGTGAGTTTCTTGTAATAAAAATAAATCGACAGGCATAGCTCGCAAGCATCCAAAAACCTTAAGGGTCTTATGACGTTCGGCAGCGCCGTTAACGTTAATGGATGCCAGCGAGACTGCCATTAGAAGGGAAAATAAAATAAAATTATAATGCATGAAGGTGACGGTGAAAATTATGGCTTCAAGAGGCCGGGATGGTCCCGGGAGAGTGCTTGGCTCATCTTAATAAGTTCGGCCAGGGCGTCCTGAGCAATCGTGCGGTGAAGTTCTACCCACGCGTCAAGTTCTCGGTCATTCAAGTTGCGGCGAGCGGGGCTCTGTAGGTCTAAGTCGGCAAGATTTCCGGTGTTGAAAGTACAAAGCGCAGCACTGGTAATATTGCGGGCCAGGGATAGTGGTCATCAGTTTTTTGCGTTCGATACCCGCCTGTTTCGCGGCTGTATACAGGAATTTGAAAGCCAGGTCATGGGTAGCAGTAACCGACGAAGCACGTTGTTGCTTTGGTTTGGAATTGTCCGATTTCGCCGGTGACAAGGGCGGTTGTTTCCTTGACTGAGGGGAGGTATCAAAAAGGTCACGCGAGGCCGAGGAAGGTGAAAGTTCTTCATTTGGGTCGGAGACCTGTGCGTAGCTCAGCGGCTGTGACTGCGAGGGTTCCGAGGTCGTCTCCTCAGTTTCATGATCCATGTCTTCGGTAATTGTGTCATCACTTGCTGTCGAGGGTATAGGGGGATCAGGTATGGCTTTCCCCCCGGATGCTGCGAGGCGTTGATTCACGGTGGGTTTTACGCGGCGCTGTTTGTCGCAATTTCTCACAACGTGCTCGGTAGAGTTACACCGATAACACGTAATCGGCTGTCCTGTGTATTTAAAATTTATTTCGACTCCTTGAGTCACGATTCGGCGGGGTAAATCCCGGTTGATTTTAGTGAACTCCGCCACGCGGATTCCACGCTCGATATGAGAGAACCCCTCCTCCTGAAAATAAAGGCGGCGAAGGTTCTCTGTTTTCAGCTCTTCATATTGTTTTAAAAGTTCCAACACAACGTTGTCTGGGAATTCCACAGGTACAAAACACGAAACATGTATAGGTTTTTCGCCGAGGAGGCGTAGGGGTTTGCGAATGTCTCCAAAATCAAAGCCACTTGTGGCATAGTCTTGCGGCGACCTCGTGGTCGCGCAAAGTAATGTTGATGCATTTTCCTCCGAAGAGAGGTACTACACCAGTGATGTCGGCTTGGTATTCGGGTAAAGATGCGATCACTTCAAGAGAGTTGATCCGCATATCATCATCAATGATCAATCGTACAGTTCTTTTGTGGGCAAAGACGCGGCGAGGGGCGCTCGCGGCCATCTTGCCCAACACGTGTGTCACAAGAACACAAAATAAATAGATAAAAACACAGCAGAGGGAAAATAAAACTCACAGAAGAAATCCACTGACAGAAACGAACCAAAAGCACCCAAAAGCGAAGCGATCCAAGCGTACTGGAAGGGAATATTCACATTTTCGGCGGAGAAACCGAAAGCGTAACCGATAAGAACAGATTTTTTTTCTTTCTTAAAATGTTTATTTCAACCGTCCTTCATCTTATTTGATACATAAATAAGAGCAATGTCTGTTTACATTAATCACATCCAGCGGTCACTTCCGGTTTACAGGAATGATACATTTCCGGTCTACAATAATATGACATATCCGGTTTACAAAGTGTGAAAAAAGGTCTGAGAAAAATGTGAGTATAATGCGGTTCTGTTGATATCATGAAAGAGAAAACTTGATTGATAACTTTTGCCTAATAACCTCACAAATGGAGTCATGACACCACAAAGAGCAAAATTTCCTCTCAGGAAGTCGAGAAAAATCTACAAATAATCTGGTTGTGATGTCATGAGAGATGTATCTAATAATGGCCCGGTGATCCTCGGTGCCATTATGAAAGGTAGCTTTATTGCAAAAATGCCAGAGGGCATAAAGGACTGTCTTAACTAAGTAACGTGCTATTGCATTGTTCTTATCGCAAGCATTAAACCGTGAGTAAAAGAAAACAGATTGATAATTCACTACAAAGGGCTGAGGGAGGAGACTAGAAAGAGTGGGGGTCAAGGAGGCCCACACTCTCTTAGCTCTAAGACAGTTCAAAAAACAATGATCAATAGTTTCTTTTCGACTACAGGAGGCACAGAGGTCCGAGTCCGAGTAGCCCCAAGATTTAAGGGATTCTCGCACTTTAACAGCTCTCAATGTAATAAGCCAAGCTAAATCATTCTTGTATACGTAGTTTTCAATCAAAGAATCACGAATAAGGGACCAATGAGTAGAAAGACATAGGGGGTGACCCAGAATAGTGGACCACCTGTATGGTAAAACAGGGATTGAGGTGGCATCTTTCAACAATTCACTATAACAGTTCTTAGAAGAGAAACAAAAACTTGATGTAGACGGTATTCTTTTAGTCACTAACGCGTCGTTGCAAAACATTCTGCTTCACGAAGCTCCCCTCCACAAGATCTCCTCAGTCACATCAATGTCTCAATGGTTTCTTTCTTACAGTCTTTATTGTTGCAGTTTCATTTCTGTGTACTCCTTTCACAATTATCTGAGCTTGTATGGAAGCTAGCAGAAGAAATAAGCCTTCAATCGGCATCAAAGTGCTTCCAATCTTTTGGTCCTCCGGCCAACGGCAATAAAAGTAACGCCAAAAAATCCAGATTTTGCCCAAATCGAAACTTAACAGGAAAAATATATCATTGATCTGTAATCCTGAGGAGTTTTAGTGTCGTATTGAATCCGGTCAAGCGCGATGCAAACGGATTTTTCAAGGTTCTCTTACTCTCCTCGCATCTTTTGATTTCGCGACATCCTGTCCAAAAATCAAAGTTTGGTGCATGCGCAGTAACGGGATACTGTTCCTTTAAAACGCCAGAGATTGTCGAAAAATATTTCACGTTCGCGGTGGTTATTAGGCCCGTACACATTAATTAATTGAAAGCGATGCCCGTGAAAATCGATAAGAGCTGTGACTACTCTACCCGCTAGATCGGTTTTAGAATCCACGAGTTTTGCGGCACTATTCGGGTGAATAAGAACCGCGACACCCGCAGACCTATTTGAGCCGGGGGACCACGTGCACTGACTCCCCCATTCCTTCTCCCATGCCTTACCTTGCGTGAAATCTGCGAGGTGAGTTTCTTGTATTAAAAATAAATCAGAGGACATGCTACGCAGACATTCAAAAACCTTAAGGTGCTTATGGCGTTCGGCACCGCCGTTAACGTTAATGGATGTCAGCGAGACAGCCATTGCGAAAAACAACAAGGACAAATAAAAGGTGAACACGACGGTAGGAGAAAAAGTTAGATCTTGAACAGGCCGGGGTGTTTTCGGCCGAGATCCTCAGACATTGCTACCAGCTCAGCGAAAGCATCTTGACTAAGAGTACGATGTAACTGTACCCACGCGTCCTGTTCACGGTCGTTCAGCCCACGGCGAACAGCGCTTGAAAGATCCAGGTCGGCAAAATTGCCGTGTTTGTGCTGCAAGTAAAGAGCGCGAGCTCGATAATACTGAGGTCCAGAGACTGTGTTCATTAATTTAGAGCGCTCGGGTCCGGCCTGCTTTACTGCGCGAAGAAAGCCCTGGATGGTAGGGGAGGACTTTACTTTGTCGCTAACGGCGCATTGTTTCGCCTCTGGTTTGTCCGATTTTCCGGGGGACGAGGGGGGGCCTTTTCTCAACTGTTGCGGCTGTTGAGAGTCAAAAAGATCTCGCGAGGCCTAAGCGAGCGGGAGTTCCGGGGTCGAAGCCGTTATTGAGGCGAAGCTCTGTGTTAGCGGAGAATCTTCCGCGGAGGTTTCAGCCGGGGGGATGTCATATGTGGTTTCGTCAGTCGTTTCCATTTGAGAAGTCTCCGAGGCTTGAGTAGTAGGGTTAGGAGGGTCAGTGAGAACGCGATCCTCCACGCGTATGTGGCTGAAGCGAGAACGCTGCTCCGGGCAGTTTTTCACCACATGTTCGGTTGAACCGCATCGATAACACGTTATCGGCTGTCCAGTATACTTGAAAAAAATTTCTAGCCCCTGGGTCACCACTTTCCGGGGGAGGTCCCGATCCAGCGAAGTAAATTCCGCCACGCTTATGCCACGCTCGATGTTTCGAAATCCCTCCTCGTTGTAACAGAGGCGGCGTAAATTTTCCGACTTGAGTTGTCCATATTGTTTTAAAAAATTAACGATTTCCTGATCTGGGAATTCAACGGCGACAAACACCGACATGAATAGTTTTCGCTCCCAGGAGCTTGAGAGGCTTGCGTTCGGGTTCGTAATCGAAGCCGGACGTAGCCAGGCGTGTTGCTGCATCTGTGGAGCTCAGGATAATGTCGAAACATTTACCCCCAAAATTCGGCACAATGCCAGTGATTTCTTCCTGAAAGTCCGGGAGAGATCGGACAATTTCTAAAGCTGTGATTTCCATGCCATCTTTTACTATGAGGCGCACAGTTTTTGTGTGCGTGAAGGTTGCGCGGGGTCCCGCAGCCATCGCGCAAAACACGTGTCCGGCGGCGTAGAAGAAATCCGCTCAAAACGACGAAAATAAAATAAAAACGCAGAAACAAACCTCACAAATAGAATCTCCAACGTAGTACGAGCCGAAAGAGACCAAAAGGAAGGCGATCGAAGTGCGGGAACGGGAACTGTTCACGTTTTCGGCAAAGAAACCGAAAACGTGACCGATAAGAACAGATTTTTTTTTAATAAAAATCACCTTTATTGAGCACGAGAAATTATTTACAGTACACGTTAGAAATATACATCGAGATAACTGCGTAGTATAAAATTACAAAGGATTACTGCTTGATATAACTAAAAGCAGAAAACAAGAAAATCGTTTTGAATTACACAGAATCCTGGGTCTACCCAGGTGCGCACGAATTGCCCCCGAGGGAGGCGGTGAAAGTCTAACTTCACCCTCCCCTTAATAGAATGGAGCGCGTATTTAATGAGCGCGGAAGCATCTTCGCGACCGTTGTAAAAGGTGCTCTTATTGCGAAAAATCCAGATTGAGTAAGCAATATTCTTAATAATAAAACGCGCGATAAGGCTCTTTTTAGCATCACATTGAAAGGCGAAAAAGAAAATAGTGAGCAGATTAACAACAAATCGAGAGCCAGTCACAGCGGAAAGGAGGGGACAGAAATGAGCCCAGACTCTTTTAGCACGAGGACATTTAAGAAAACAATGATCAATCGTCTCCTTCCGGCCGCATACAGCACACTGGCTAGAACGTATATATCCCCAACGGTACAAAGCATCGCGAACTTTGGTACCCCGAAGGGTTATTAACCAAAAAAGATCATTAACGCGATTATCACACAGGGCATCCCTCACCTTGGCCCAGTGATCGCGAAGCGAGAAACCTGGGCCGAGGTAGGGGACCCATGCGCAGTGTAGAGAAGGCGGGGAAAAGCTTTTATTCAACGCGTTATAAATAGCCTTAGTAGTAAGCGGAACGAAAGTTAGATCTAGGTGCGATAGAATCGATATACAAGACGCGTAAAAGCGAGTAGGAATAAGTGAATGAGGTGAAGAATTATCTCTCAGAGGCAACCATTGAGGGAGAAAACGAGCTAGGTGCCACCCGACAAAATATTTACACAAAAAGAAGCTTTTATCATCCGGATCGTTAAGAGTAGCTACAAGAGACGAAACGCGTAATGCTTCACATTTACAAGGAAAATTGGTGAGGCGGAGACCTCCTTCAGGAACACTACAAAAACACGATTTACGAGAAACAGTTTCGATTTTCGAGCCCCATATAAAGGGCCAGATAAGCTGGTTGACTCTGCGAGATACCCACTCAGGAAGTAAAAGAACGCGCGCTAGATATTAGAATTTACTAAGACCAATTACATTAACAATAAGACATTTACCTAAAAAAGAGAGAGAGTGAGATTTCCACAAATTAATAGATTTTTCAAGCTTAGCTAGCTTGGATGACCAGTTATCTTGTTCAACGGGAACAACCCCAAACCATACCCCTAACACCTTCATTTTCTTAACCCATGTGAGGTCCACGCGCGATCTCCACGCGCCGAGCCACATGGCCTCAGTCTTGGAGCAATTTAATTTTGCACCCGATCCTCTCTCATAAATAGAAACTAGATTAAATAATTGTACTAAAGAAGAAACATTCTTAAGAAAAGTGGTTGTGTCGTCTGCATACTGGCGGACACGGAAGTATGCGCCGCCGGCACCCGGTAAAATAAATCCAGAAATGAAAGGAGAAGAACGAATTTGAGAGGCCAAGACCTCTACACACAAAACATAAAGTAAGGGGGAGAGAGGGTCGCCTTGGCGAACACCTCTCTCTAATTCGATTTTGCCAGAAAGATATCCGTTAAGAATTATACGCATATTTGCACTAGTGTAAAGAGTGTGGACCCATTTAACGAAGCTAGGTCCGAAACCTAAATGCTCTAAAAGGCGAAATAAAAAAGAATGGTTTACACGATCGAAAGCCTTTTCCTGATCTAGACTAACAAGAATACCAGATTCATTCGTCCGCTCAATATAATCAAGAACGTCGCGTAATAAGGTGACATTAGAGGTAATCGAGCGACCAGGAACAGAACAATTCTGATCCGGGTCAACAAGGCTACCTAAAACGCGGGATAACCGCAAAGTAATAAACTTAGACAAAATTTTATAATCGGTATTTTTTGTCTCCAATATTTTTAATCTTTAATGTCACCGCGTTTTTTAAAAATCAAGCGCGTTACACTGGTTTGCAAGGATTCGGGTAAGCATTCATCTGTGAAACAGAAATTATACAAACGACACAACAAAGGAGCTAAGAGATGCCAAAATTTTAGGTAAAATTCTAAAGTAAACCCATCAGGCCCAGGGGATTTATTTAGGGACAAACTTTTAACGGATTCGGCGAGTTCTTCAAGAGAAATAGGCCCGTCGCAGGAAAGGGATTCAGCAGGAGTGAGCTTAGAATTCAGCTGAAAAAACAAATGTTGTTGACAGGCCATGTCAACAGGCTCTTCAGAAAACAATTGAGTATAAAACTCCACGTGCACCCGGTCAAGGTCAGCAAGGTCATTACCATTTGAATCATTCATGGCAATTACGCGATTTTTCTTAATTCGTTCTCGTTCTAGACGAAAAAAATACCGAGTAGGCTTTTCGCCTTCCTCGATCCAACAGGCCCTACTTCTCGTCTTGACTCCCTCTATTTCTAAATTGAATAGAGCAAACAAGCGCGCCTTCTAGGGCGATGATCTCAACCGAGGCTGAGGTATCACCCTGAATCAAACGCTGTTTGCATAAAACTAAACGATTAGTCAAATTAACCTTCTCGCGGTTTAATTCAGTGCGCTTATGCTTAGCAAAATCAATACACTCCTCTTAAGAGAAATTTTGAAAAACTCCCACCAATCCCTAACTGAAGAAAAGCGAACAACACAACCCGATAGATCCGTGATACGATTAGAGATATGATCGCAAAAATCAGTATCAGTCAACAAAGAATTGTGAAATTTCCAGAGGCCCGGGCCCTGAGGAGAAAACCTTGAAAGGTCAACAACAAGATCGACAAGATCGTGATCGGAAAAGCAACATGGACGAATAGAGGAAGAGAAAATAAATTGCACGAGGTCAGGAGAGATGAAAAATTTATCCAAACGGCTAGCGATAGAGAAATCAGAATTGCACCAGGTGAATTCACGCGATCGCGGGTGTTGTTTACGCCAAACATCGACTAAATTGAAATTCACTTTAAATTCAGAAAGCGAACGACAAGGAGAATAATTGCCGCCGAATTTATCTAGTTCACTGTCATAACTATTAAAATCACCACAAATGTCCCTATAGCTAGCTGGAATAAAAAACTCGTGCAAGTTTTCAAAGAAAAGCTTGCGTTCAGTCGGATTAGTCGGAGCGTAAATACCGAGGAGGTTAATTTCACAACCAAAATAATCTATTAACATACTGATTACTCGGCCACTTAAATGTTTTCGCCAAGAAAGACATTTACCCTCAAAATTCTCGCGAACAAGAGCGCAAACACCGCCCTGCTTGCCGATGGCCGGCGACCAAAAACTAAGACCGGACCAGCGGCCCGCTAAGGACTTAATGTTGCGCTCATCGGAGATTAAAGTTTCCTGAACAAAAACAAGATCATAATTACGCACAAAATCAAAGATCAAATCGGCCTTTCTATCAAAACCCCGTGAATTTAGGGTAGCTAACTTGAAGGTGAAAGGATTCAAGTGACCGACTCGGAAACTATACCAGGATCATGGGAGGGGGTGGAGGCGGAGGCTCGTCAGAGGTCGTAGATCGAGTCGCCGGTTTCCCTGACGGCACAGGAGCCGGAACAGTTGCTCGACGATGAAGTGCCATCAGCGACTCGGGCATAGGAGCTGGTTGTCGCCGGCTGAAGATTCTGCGGGAATTGCGAATTCGACCAAACTCGGAACTCTCAGGGGGGGTGGTCTGGGGCGTTGAAAGGTCTAGGGAAGAAAATAAAGCCTGGGAACCCTGGGCCAGGGAATCCGCAAGCTGATCATCATTAGTACCTTCTTCACCACCTTTAGCATCGTCGTCATCATCGTCGTCATCATCGTTATCATCATCATTATTGTCAACATCACCACCCATGTCCACATCAGTATCGTCATCCTCATCACTAGACATGTCGTCATCGTTATCAGCATTGTCAACATTGTCGTCAGTAGAAAGATTGTCATCACTACCAAAGAGTGAACGCAATACAAGGAGGCCATTAGCGTCAAGAATATCGTCACTAGGATCTTGAGACTCTTGAGGTGTAGGCTCAGCTGGTACATCCAGAGTAGGGGGGGGATTGTTCGCGGGCGTAACTATATCCCTGGATACGCTAGTAGGCGGGTCGTCACGTTGAGGAGAGGGAACTGGCGATGATCGATACCAGGAATAGGGACAGTGCCTCGCGCGATGCGAGGGATCCTTGCAGATGCAACAGAGTTCCTCGTGATTGCACTCGTCGACCTTATGGCCAAGCTCCTCGCAATTGAAGCATATCGTATTCGGACAGTCTTTCGCAAAGTGTCCTCGCCTGTTACACCGGCGACATGTGTGTGTCTGTCCATCATGGGAAAGACGAATCAGGAATTTACCAAATCTGAGGTACGATGGAATGGCTTTATGTATGCGAACCCGAAAATGACGATTGCCGTTAAAAACCATCTTGTTCGACTAATAGCGGCCACGACGATAGCTAACTACCTCGCAATAAGGCTCCAAACGCTTGATGATGGCATTATCCGATAATTCATGGGGCGCGTCGTAAATATTTAGGAAGGTCAGGAATC